GAATACCGTGGTAGGAGAGCTGTGGATTAGTCTAACCACTATGGAAAACAATTTGGAACCAGCCTGGGAAAGTCACAGAACCGCACATTGACTTAGTTTTGTCGCTGGTGAGAATCTATCCCAAGAAGGTGAAACATCAAGGGACAGAAATATTTATAGCATCATTTCAGGTGGTGGCAAAGAGTTTTAAGCACAGGGGAGCTCACTGTTTGGGGAATGGCTGAACAAATTGTGGAATATAATTGTAAATGAATGTTATTATTTTATAAGAAATGAAGAATCGTGAAAACTTGGGAAGGTTTGTGTGAACTGATGCAGAGCACAGTCAAGAAAAAATAGATATCAGATCTCTGATCAATAGATCAGTCTTGATTTCAGAGGCCTGGTGGCCTCTTTATTCTTGGCAGAGATGTGGTGGACTATGAGCACATAACAAGACATACCTTTGTCAGACATTGCCAAAATGATGGTTTGTTTTGCTTAATTCTACTTCTTTGTTACCAAGATGAGTTTTTTGTTTGTTTTTTTTTGGTCGAGGTGGGGTAGTATTACTAGAGGGCTGCTAGGTGGCACCATGGCCTGAATACCAGGCCTGGAGTCAGGAAGACATCTTCGTGAGTTCAAATCTGGCCTCAGACACTTACTAGATGTGTGACCCTGGGCAAGTCACTTTACCCTCTTTGCTCAGTTTCCTCATCTGTAAAATGAGTTGGAGAAGGAAATGGCAAACCACTCCAGTATCTTTGCCAAGAAAACCTCAAATGGGGTCACAGAGTGGGACACAGCTGAAACGACGGAACAAGTACAACATCTATAGATTAATAGCCATCAGGAGCATTGATCTACCTCTTTTGTGACTGTTGAAAGCTAATCATTCCATTTACATTTACCCAGAACAAACATCCCCCCCACCAAGTACTAATTCTACCACTGACTCCTCCTTCCATTCAAGACATATCCCCTTGTCCTGACAATTTATTGTTATCCAGAAGAGGTGTAAGCTGCCCGCATAGACTTACAAACCATCCACGAGACTGTCCAGGTCATGTACACGTGCACTATTCCCCGATCTCTAGTGATCTATGCGGGTCAGTGATCAAGACTGGCTGTTGACTGAAAGCTTCCATAGTAGTCAACTCTCTTAGAAGTTGGATGACAGAGTCCTTCCCAGCAGGAAGATGGTGAGTCTGGTGGGTTTAGGCTGAAGTTCTGATCATCGCAATGGCCTCCTAAGTTCTTCCCCACCTCAAGACTCTGCCTACTCCAATCCACCCCCAACACAGCTGCCAAAGCAATTTTTCTAAAGCGTCCATTGACCCAGCTCACCTTCCCCATCCCTCACTCAACAAATTACATTGGTTCCCTATCACTTCTAGGGTGAGAGATGAATTCCTGAGTTTGGTAAACCCTTCCCAACCTGTCCCCTTCCTACTGGTTGGGTCTTCTTGCACATGATTCCCCTCCACACACTCCATGGTCCAGCCCCATGGTCTTCCTGCTGCTCACATACCACAATCCCATTCCAGTCCCAAAGCCTTTGCATTGGCTGTATCCCATACCTAGAGTGCCATCCCTCCTTATTTCCACCTCTTAAATCCCTGGTTTCTTCAAGACTCAGCTCCAATGTGACCCCCAGAAGGCCTTTCCTGGTGTCCTCCCTACTCCAAAGTTACCTTCTATCTACTCTCTTTATATCTTGTGTATCCCTATTTATATACCTGTTATCTCCCCCCTAGAATATAAATTCCTTTAGCAGATCATAAGAATTGTTTTTGCTTTTCTTTTTTCTTTGAACTTTCTTTTTCACATTTGTACCACTGGTGCTTAGCACAGTGCCTGACACATAGCAGGTGCTCCCTAAAAGTTTGTTGACTGACTGATTCGTTGAAGTTCCCAGACACCAAACAGGACCACTCTCTCTTTCACCTGTCATTGCTCTGGAACCCCTATGAAGACTCAGCCTTTACACTCCTCTGACCCTGTAACTTTCTTTGCTGGCCATTGCTGACCCAAAGAGTGATGACCCAATTCTGATAGAGGCACCTCAAGTATTTAAGGTGGACAAGCATGTGGGGGAAGCCAACTAAAATTCTGCATGCTCCTAGGCCATTTCCAACTTCTGACATCCACATAAGCTCTCGCCCTGTGGGCTAGGGGGAGGCCTGCAAGGAAGGGATCGCTGTCTGGTTCCTCCGTCAGCATAGGTGTCATTGGCCCAGGCCCGGACGGAGAAGAGCAGAGGCCGTCTTTAACTACAGCCGTCAGGCAGGCAGCGCGATGACATCACACCTGGCTCCCACAGACATACACCTTTGGCTGCAGCTTCCCGGTAACGTTTCTTGAATCTCCTTTGTCATAAATCCTCTACTTCACTCCAGATTTCTCCTAGACCGATCGCCTATTCAATGTCAGCACCAGCTGACGTTCATCAGCTCCGTCTGAGTGAGTCAGGCTTGAGAAACAGCTCCGGGAGTTCTCGAGTGAAGAAAGGTCGCTCTGCTGTTCATGCGCTCCACAGAATCCACCCTGGCCCCGCTGAGCTGCTCGTGTCTCCTCCAGCCTTGCCCAGCTCCTTATCGGATGCTGTCGGAGAACTTTGCCCCTCTGTCCTCACCTCTCCTTCCGCCTCCGCCAAGCACTGTATGAGGCTCGAACCACCCAACGAACTCTTGGAAGGAGCTGGAGGCACGATCCAGGTTTCTGGGCTTCCATAGCCTAGCTTGGTTTGACTCAGTTCTCTTTTTTTTTTTTTGTGGTCAGGTAATGGGGTTAAATGACTTGACCAGGATCACACAGCTAGTTATGTGTCAAGTGTCTGAAGCCGGATTTGAACTCAGGTCCTCCCGACTTCAGGGCCGGTGCTCTATCCACTTCGTCACCTAGCTGCCCCTTTGCTCAGTCCTCTTGTTGCTTCCTCATTCATGTCTGGAGTCAAATGGCCAGGGCTCTTCTCTGCAAGAGGTCGGTTTCTCTAGATGTATTCATGGTGAAACCCCATGGCAAGGACTTAACAGACTCCCCTAAGTTCCTTTTGACCGCGAGTTCCTCTCATTAGCCATTTTAGACAGACAGACTCCTTGGCTAATGGGTGACACTAGGTCCGACACTATCTTGCCTCAGAACAAACTGCGGAAGGCCAGTGAAAGCATGTGGTTTGGGTGTGCAATATGGAAGCAGGAGGAGTCAGAGCCGTGTATCTCAGCCTCCTTGAGGGAAGAGGAGGGATTTTCTGAACTGCAGAGTATCTAGAGGGGCACTGGAGTTCGTCTCAGGAAGACCTGGGTTCAAATCCTGCCTCACTTACCAGCTATTTGACCTTGGGCAAGTCACTTAATAATAGCAAACATGTATATAGTGCTTACTGTGTGCCAGGCACTATGCTAAGTACTTTATAATTATCTCATTTAAAAATTTTACATGCTTCAGATCTAAACTTTGGGGTAGCTAGGTGGCACAGTAGATAGAGTTCTGGCCTTGGAGTCAGGAGGACCCGAGTTCAAATCCAGCCTTAGACACTTGACACTTACTAGCTGTGTGACCCTGAACCAGTCACTTAACCCCAACTGTGTCACCAAAAAGCAAAAAAAAAAAATTATTTATTTTATTCTGAACTTCAGAAATGAAACAAGCATTTCTATAACATATTAGAATGGGGAAAAAGATGATCATATGTGAAACTGCAAATCTATTATGTACAACTTGTTATTCCTTTTAAACATATAATAAAGTTATCATGTAACTTTCTTTTTTTTCTTTTTTCTTCCCTCCCCCCACCCTAGAGATGGCTACCATCAGACACAAATATGTAGGTATGTGTGTATGTGTGTGTGTGTATGTGTGTGGGGGGTTATGTAAAACCCTTCTATACATATTTCTACTTATCAATTCTTTCTCTGGATGCAGACTTATCAGCTCGTTTGATCCTCACAACAACCCTGGGAGGTAGGGGCTAATATTATACTCATTTTACAGATGAGGAAACTGAGGCAGTCAGAAGTTAAGTGCCTTGGCTAGGGTCATAGAGCTGATTAAGTGTCTGAGGCCAAATTTGAACTCGGGTCTTCCTGACCGCAGCCCAATGCCCGATCCACCTTTCTGTGCCTTAGTTTCCTCATCTGAAAATTGGGTATTGGAACTGATGAGCTCTCAGGTCTCTTCCGGCTGTGAATCGGCAACTCTATGATTTGGGAGAATAGAGGTTTTTCCAGAGAGAGGATGGAGGAGTGCTTGGCTACAGGCCGACCTCTTGGAGAGAAGAGGACTGACCGTTTGATTCCAGACAGAACCGAAGGAGCATCAAGAGGACGGATCCAGACCCGGATTCAGAAAACCAAGAATGCAGGCTGTGCTTTCTGCTCCCCCAGGAGCTATTCTTTGGGCGGTTCAAGTCTCAGGAGAAAGGGCGTTGGCTTCCTATCACCTCGGGCTCGTTTTTCTCCTGGGAGGAGCCCAAATCCTTCAAGTAGGTGGTTCGCCAAGGTGGGAGGCCTCCAAGATACCTGGGAGGGAAGGTGCCGTTCCCATTTCTTGGACACACGAGTTCTTTGCATTGTTCTGCCTTTTCTGTGCGGTGGAGCCAAGGCTGCCCTGAATCTATTCGTCCTCGTCGCCTTGAGCACTCCCTGAAGGCCTGAGGCCCTTGTAGCTACATTTTGTTGTGTAGTCATTTTTGTTTCAGTCCCATCCTATTCTTCATGACCGCCATTTGGGGTTTTCTTTGCAAGGGTACTGGAGTGGTTTGCCATTTCCTTCTCCAGATCATTTTACAGATGAGGAACCTGAGGCAAACAGGGTTAAGCGACTTGCCCAAGGTCACCCAGTTAGTCAGTGTCTGAGACTGGATTTGAACTCAGGACTTCCTGACTCTAGGCCCGGCAGCTGCACCACCTAGCTGCTGTACCTACATTAGTGGAGACCTAGATTTGATCTATGTGCTAAGGTCCATAAAGGAAATTCAGGATGGGGACAAAATGATATGTAATTTAGGGAAACTGCGCAGTCTCAAGATTTAACTCAGAGATTGGGGTCGGGGGATATTGAGGTTTAACAAAACCAGTATTGTGATTCCTATTTTATAGATGAGGAAAAGGAGTCTCAGCAGTTCTATTTTTCCCCCAGGTCACAGAGCTGGTAAAAATCAAGGTACGGGCTGACTCAGTTTGGGCGCTGTCTAGCCCTTCACAGAATTTCATTCCTTCTCTGTTTTCTGAAGCAGATGTTGACATGGAAGCTGTGATTGTCGTCATGGTGATCTGTCTGTTTACATCCATCCTGAGTACTCTAAGACAGGGTGAACATCTGTGAGTCTGGGTCCATCACCTGCAAATGACTGAGTGGTCTCCACGGGCCCTTTCAGCTCTGATGTTCCATGATCCTATAACCCTGAAAACAGCCTGGGGTGTTTGAGCTGACCTCTAGGTAGGTGGCTGACTGGCCTGGCTGATGTATTTCCATCCCTCCTCGGCAGGGGCTTTGAAAACAATCAGCATCGGGGCAGCTAGGTGGTGTGGTGGATAGAGTACTGGCCCTGGAATCGGGAAGCCCTGATTTCAAACCTGGCCTCAGACACTTACTAGTTGCTGATCCTGGGCAAGTCACTTAACCCCGACTGCCCCTAAAAATTAAAAAAAGAGAGAATATGATCAACATCCGGGTAGATGGTTTTTCTTTGTCACATACATAAGGACACATACACACATTACAAAGGTCTTCCTGACTCCGGGCCTGACGCTCTATCCACTGCACCACCCAGCTTCTGTACCAACTCCATTGTCTTGATAAACACTTATTTTCTAAAAGCTATTTGAATCTGGCCAACTAGCTGATTTTAACTGATAATGGGGGAAGTAGCCTTTTGAAGGCCCATGAGTTACAACATCAGAAAGATAACCTTAAGCTCTTCAAGGTTCCCTAGAAAAGTAAGGGGACCTAGCTTGCTAGTGTGAGTGGAGCTTGGGAGAGTAGCCCCAACTAAACCATCTATAGAGGTCCATTTGAATTCTCCTTTAACCTAGACCAGTGTGGCCTGGGGACCCCTACTGGTTCCTGAGACCCCTTCAGGGGGTCTGACAAGGTCACAACTATTTTCAATATAATACTAGGATGTTTTAATTTCTATTACAATAGATGCCAACAGATATAACCCATACAAACCAAAAACTCTTTGAGGGGGTCCTCACTCATTCTTAAGAGTGTGAAGGGGTCCTGAGACCTAAATGTTTGAGAATCACTGATCTGGCCCAACTCCATGGTCTAGGAATTAGTTTTCTTCACTTCCTCAAGTACCATTTTCTATACAATCCTTTTTTCTGATTCCCTCCTCATCCATTGCTTGAACTCTTCCTAACTACCTGAGTTTATTTTGTATTGAAACTGTACATATTTATTGTTAAATACTTCTGAAATGGTTGGAAGAATACTGACTCTGGGGTCAGAGGACCTGGGTTCAAAATTTATATCCAATGCTCACTGTCTATGTGAACCTGACTTTGCTGGGCCTCAGTTTCCTCATCTGTAAAATGGGGAAGTTACACTAGATGGCTCCTGAGATCCCTTCTGTCTTTAAACTGATGATGTGAGGATTCTTCAGCAGAATAGAAGCTCCCTGAAGGCAGGGACTGTTTCATTTTTGGCTTTCTATCTTCAGCACCCAGCAAAGTACCAGGCACATGGTGAATACTTCATAAATGATTGCTTATTGGTTGAGGTTCCCTTTGCTTTCTGTGCTTTTCCATCTCAGCAGATGTCTCATGGCCCCATTGCCAGCCTAGGTGTGCATCCAATTGTTTCCTGCTCCTTGCTCAGGGTCTTAGCGTCCAGAGCACTGAGAGACTTTAAAGGTCAGAGAAACTCTGAGCCCTGATATGTGCAGCCTGTGCTCTGTAATTGAGGTGGGGGCCGAAGAAAGGCATTGTCTGGGGAGAAAGCACAATGACAGTGGGCCCTGGATCTCTGGCATGGAGGAGTGTGGAGGAAGAGAGAGGAGGGGGGGAGACAGAGTTGGGGGGAAGGGATAGTGAGAGAGAGAAAGAGTGAGAGCTAGAAAGAGTGTGTGTGAGAGAGAGAGAGAGTGAGAGGGACTGAGAGAGTGAAAGAGAAAGAGAGAGAAAGAGAGTGAGGGAAAGAAAAAGAAAGGATGAAAGAGAGAGAGAGAGAGAGAGAGAGAGAGAGAGAGAGAGAGAGAGAGAGAGAGAGAGAGAGAGAGAGAGAGAAGGTAAATCTAGGCTCTAGCAAATAAGAACCCTGAATCCTATAGCAGCTTCTTATCAGAATGATGCGCATTGTAGATTTCCCACCTGTGGCCAGGAGAGCAAGGACAGGAGGGCATCTCAGTGTCAAGAGGGAGGCAGAGACCAACAGAGATCCCTTAGGATCATGGAATCCAGCTCGAGGGCTGGAAGGGATGTTTGAAGTCCTCCTCATTCAACCTTCTCATTTCCCAATAAGGAAACAGAAGGACAAGGAAGTTAAGGGAGGAAGCAAACTCGTGTCAGCAGTAGGTGACAGAGTGAGATTTTAACGCAGCCTCTAGTGCCAGTGTTCAGTCTACTGCACCATGCTTCCTCCCTTACTGAATGCACAGAACTCACCAAGTACCAGAGAAAGAGCTTCAGAGTCCATCCAACCCAGCTCTTACTTGAGCAAGAATCCCCTTGACAATATTCCTCACGCGTGGTCAGGTCATTCTCTTAAGGCCCTCCATTGGTGGGGAGCTCCCTGCTCCCAAAGTGGCTGCCTCAGGTAGTAACCCCATTTCACTTTGGGATGGCTATAATTATTAGGAAGCTTCTCCTTGCTCAGGGTGGCTTGTTACTGACTGCATACATAAATACATAACACACATATGCATGTGCATAAAATATATACTTTATAGGTATATAAATACTCTAACATTACATATTATTAAATATGTTATATTTATTAGTATATTATTAAATACATTGTATTTAACATATCATACACACACAACATAATTATTTATACAGGAATCATATAAATATTACAGCATAAAATAAAAAATTATAATGCATAATATAATATATATGCTTATCTTCCAGAAAGCAGAGTAATTGTAACTTTAAGAGCTACATAGAATGTGGAGAAGAGCCACTGGACAGGCAGTTGGTGGCTGTTGGAAGATTCTGCCCATGAAGTTCTCTCTACAAGTCAAGTCGATGATCTCCGAGGCTTTGTGAGCAGTTTGGGGAAAATACGGAGAAGGGCAAGGTGATGTGAGGCTTCTCCCTCATCAGAACTGTGGTAAGTAAGCATGTTATAAAGAAGCCTCATACAAAGTATTCCATGGAGAGTTTGTGAGGAGCTAGCAAGAAGGAGCATTTTGGAAATGCTTTTTTCCTGTAATTACTTGAGAGGACAAAAGGAAAAGATTAATTTAGCTTTTTTCCCTGAGAGACTGAACGGAACTCTTATCTTGAGGAGAAATATGAAAAATATTCTGAAGAATCTTTAATCACTGTCTGGAATGAACTGAAGGGTGAGTTTCCAGACAAGTAAAGAAGAGTTATTCACTATTATATAGAGGGTATGAGGTGATGGGCTGTGACATTATAGCCAAAATACAGCAAGAGTTTATATATACATATATGTGTGATAACAAATATTACTATTTATTCTACTTCAAACCTAAATCCTTCTCTTTGCAACTTCACCCCCATTGCTCCCATTTCTGCCCTTTGGGACCAAGCAAAGAAGGTCTAGCCCCTCTTTTCCCTGACAACTTTCCACATACTTGAAGTTTCTTTTCTCAAGGCCAGCCAGCTCCCCAGATGCCTAATGAGAAAAAAGGCAGGTTCAAGCCCAGCCCTGGGGATGGGATGATTTCAGAGGCAAGGAGAATAAATTGTATTGAATTGAATTCAGATCTCCCATTCCAGAATCACCTCCCCTAACGACTCTCTGTTGCCCGCAATCTTTTTAACACAGGTATTGTGACCCCTTTGGCATGGGGGAATTCCAACGACCCCTTTTTAGAACAATGGTTTTAGATGCATAACATAAACTGCGTATACTTACAAAGGAAACCAGTTGTTTTGAAATATAGTTATAATGATTTTTTTTAAAAAAGAGAAAAGTTCATGGACCCCAGATTGGAACCCTTGATCTAACAGGAGATTAGCTTTTCATTCCAGAATCAGTGATAAAATGAACAACTGGAGAGAGTGAGCCCGCTGGTGTGAATGAGTAGCCAAGTGCACCTGCCTCCCTCCCAGATGGTAATAATGTCTAGTCTCTGGCTGTTTGCTTACCACAAACCCTGAACTGGTTTATTTTCCTTTCTGAGGACTGCTTTGTTCCTCCCCTCCTGGGCACATATTCATCCTGTCTCTCTTTCTCTCTTTCCACCCCCATCTTGCTGGCCAGAAGACAGCACATTCCATCACACTGATCTCCCCACCAGGACAGGCACATTCTTCCTACTCACACAATGTAGATGAAAGGGGTGTCTGAGGGGAGCCCCAGAGTCCAGGTGGGGCTGGACCAGCCTCTTGATGAACCTCCTTCCACCACCCCCTCATCACAGCCTAGACAGCAGGTGATAGTGGTAGAAGCAGAGTCCAGACTGGGCTGTAGGAAGGGGACTAAAGACATTATAGACCCAGGGAGGGGGGCGTTCTTCACACCATGGTTAGGCAATCCCATTGCTCATCCAGGCAGTATCAATTCCCCTGAATTCTCAGTTAAGTAGTCCCTCATTAAGAGGGCTTAATAAGGGGAGGAGGGTAGGAACAACTGAGGAAATGAGAGAAGGGTTTATTTAGGTGGTACTTAAGCAGAGTTTTGAGGGAAATGGGATTCTAAGAAGCAGAGGGGATGTGGAAGTGGATTTCAAGTCTGGGGACCACAAGTGCCAAAATATAAAGACAGAAAATGGGAGAAACAAGCAAGGTTGGGTGGACTGCAGAGTGCAGGAAGGGGGGAACCATGTACAATGTGGCCGGAAAGGTAGGTTGGGGAAAGGTGTGAGGGACTTTGGAGGTTATTGCTGATCTGAGAGGCAACAGGGAGCCAATGGAGGATACAGAGCAGGGGATCGCATGACACGGTCAGACTTGAACGTTGGGAAAATCATCTCAGCATCTGTGTGCTGGGTAGGTTGGTAGGGAAGGAGACTCAAGAGAGACCGACAGGAGCAGCTGCTGGGAGTAGTGATGAGAGCACGTTGTCCCCGAAGCACCAAGCTCTATATAAAGTCACATCAATCCCTCGCACCATTAGTGCGCCTTTGTTATTACGATGAGAGACTGGGGCATGCCTAGATGCCCATCAGCTTCCAAGTTTGCTTCCAGGACGATCCCAATGACAAGTAATAGATGGGTTGTAGAGAGCCTGTGGAGCGTGTCAGACATTCTGTAACTGGGCTAACCAGGTGGTTGGGAGAAACCTTTTTCCATTGGCCGAATTGCCAGAAGTACTGATGTCTTCAGAAAGACCCGGGTTCACTTTTTGTTTCCTGTAGTGACTCCTTTTCTCACAGCATCCAGTGAAAAATTGTGTTCCAAGGGGAGTTCCCCTCTGAGGCCATATGGCTACCTAAGAAGTAGGTCCTGGTTCTCAGCCTTTTTGTCTTTTTTTCCTTTCTAGATGAAGGGAGTGGTATCTCGGGCCTTGTGAGTTTCAAAGGTTGGCAGAGTGGACCTAGGAATGAGAATCAGAATTCAGGCCGGGTTTTGCTGCCAAGGTCTCATCGATTCTCTTAAGGAGCAAGGAGCTCTCTTGAGGAGGGATCTTCAAAACCCCAGCCAGCAGAAAGACTGGTGATCCCATCTGGTGATCATGTGGCATCTAAACGTGACCTTGGTGGGGCAAATGCTATGTAGGAACTGAGTTAAGTTTTGGGTCTTTTTCTTCAGAGACTGAGGTGGTATAGGGGAAGAGAATGTCCACAGCAATTGTGCTGTTCAATTACAGCCACCATGTTTGGCCCAAGAGAAGAAACAAGAACATGCAGCTCCCTCCCTTTTTGTAGAAGAAATGTTTCTACATGTATTCTTGCTGTACCTTTGAAGTAACTGTCTCTCTGCAAAGGCTTTTTGACATCAAGTGGTTCAGCGGAGCTGGGGCCTTCTTCACTGGCCTCTAAGCGTGAGGGGGAGGGGAAGAGAAGCAGAGCCAGCGAGTGCTAAGGGCAGCCCAACCCCGAGGTGGGGGTTCGTAGCCTGCCTGGCTCTGGGAGGGTGGGTCAGAGCACACCTGGGCCGTGTGATTTCATTTTCAGTGGCACCACAGGTTGGTTGCCTGGGACACCCAGTCAAAGCACTGACATTTGTATTAGGGTCCACAGCCACAGGTCTCAAGCTTACCCTGGTTGATCTTTGCAAGGACTATAAAAAGTTTTGGTCCTGGGGAGAACTCTAACACTTTCACCTTAGGCAAGCTGGAGCAATTCCCTGGAGGACATCCCTATTGGATACTGTGTACTAGTGTACACAGTGCTGGGGGGAAGACACAACCCAAGTGAGATTGTTATCTCCTCGATCCTGCTGAGATTTCATCTTTCTCCCGAGTCACAAGGTCCATTTACTCCTATGTATTCTGTTGTCTCCACTAACCTGTACAACTTCCCCATCTGTTTCATTGTTTACTTTGATAAATATGTTTTCTTGCTACCTGTGGCTGTCTTTTGTGTATTAATAAGTTTCTTGGAGGATTAGAGTTGGTCTGGAATAGACATAGAGTGAAAGCGATGGAGAAAATAGCAACTCATCCCGTAGCAGTGGGTAGTGCCCACAGTTTTTCAAGATGGCCCAGTAATTAACGAGTGAAGATCCCAAAAGAGTGTTATGTTAGAACCTGCATCCATCTCCCAACTTTATAAGCCCAGTATACCAGAGAGAGAGTGTGAAGCCTGCCCAGACCCTGGGTCTCTCTACCACCAGCTCTTGTCTTTCATCTACTCGGTGGGACCTGTGGCAGCGTCTTCTGAACTCGTATGGGACACATCCCATTATCACGATGTCATTGGTCCCCCCTCAATAAGGAAGGGCAAACAATAAGAAGGGAGTCATGGTGGGGGGAAGGATGCTCACTTAAGCACCTTCGGACACTGGGTTTGCAGCTTTTAGAGATTGGTTTATGTCCCTGTCTCCCTCTTTAGAGGGTAAGTTCCTTGAGGGCAAACCCTTTGATCTTTGCATCTCTAGCATCCATTACTGTGCTGAGCATTTAGCAGATGCTTAGCAAATGATTATTGTTGAATTATTAGCTCTCCCAATAAACTATTTCTTTTTTGTCTTTTTATCCCCGGCATCTGGCACAGTGCCTGGCACATAGCAGACATTTAATAATACTATATTAACAGAGCATAATATACGTTGGACTGATTGAGTCTCCTTATCCTCCTCCCCCACGTTACCATCAATGTTTCTTGAGACCTCTTCCCTCCACCCTCTACTTTCCACTCCCCAAGATTCCTGGCCTCAGGCATCAGGGCTGGTCAGCATATTTTCAACTTTGTCTTCAAACTTCTCCACAATTCCACCTAGCTGTGCCCACAAAGGCTGTTTATGCAGCTGGGACTCTAAATTCCCTTCCCCCCTCCCATGCCTCTCAAAAAGTCCTAGGTGAGTCAGGGTGAGTGAATTCCTTTCTTGTTTTTACTGCCTTAGGTATAGACAGTCAGCACCTTCCTCTGACCTTTCTGAGGCTGGAGATAAACACACATCTCTTTTTCTTTTCCTTTTCAGTTCCCAGTAGGTTTACATAAGCCTCCAGGAGGCATCACAAATCCTGGGGAGAGAGGACAAAAGATGACGGCTCTTATGGGCAATCTTGCTATAATCCCAAGTCACCTTCACAAAATGAATGGGAGAGCAGATGCATAAATGAGTGCTCTCTTGCATCGCTGGAAACTTTGCCTGCCCTCAGCAAAGCTGTTGGAGATGCCAGATTATCCTTCAGCTCTTTGAGATCAAGGACTATTTCTTTCTCTTTGTATCTTCCCAGGGTCTCACATGAAACTTTGCACGTAGGGATCTCTTAATAAATATTTGGTGAAGGGATGAGGGCTGGGGCAGGGGGAGTGGGGAGCAGGAGGCACATGAGAAAGACCTTGTGAAAGAAGAATGACAGAATTTATTAGATGTGAGGGGCCAGGGAGAGGGAGAAGTCAAAATGTTCTTCTAGTGTTAACTGATAAATAAGGTGTCCCCTCTTCTAGGGGTTATTGGCACTATTAAGGGGACTTTCATAGATTGGGAAACCTTTTTAAGTCCCACCCTCCCCCAAGATCTCATGGGGTCTGTAATTATGGATTTTCAAGCACTTTATTCAATTCACTCCAAATCAATCCAAACGTTTATTAAGCACCTACCATGTGAAAGACAGTCAAAGATGAAATAAAACAAAACCCCTGCCCCCAAAGTGCTTACAGTCTAACTGGAGGAGATAAGACATAGACAAAAATAATTCCAATACTCAGAATGTGATAAGAGCAAAGGAGAAGTCCAGACTTTGTTTTGGGAAGGTGAGAGAAAGTTTCATGGAGAAGGAGCCAACAGGAAAGGGCCTAGGATGAAGGGTTTCAACAGGCCAAGAAGGAGAGTGCGGAAGTCTATTCCAGCTGTAAGGGATGGCGCAAGCAGAGATGTGGTGATGGGAGAAGGCAAACGGGATGGTAAGCTTGTCTATCGAGCTACAATAGGAGAAGGAGGGAAAGTTAGATTGGAGCCAATTTATGGCAGGCTTTAAATGCCAGAAGAAAGGAGCTCACCATTTATTCAACAGGCAATGGGAAATCAAATGATCAGATTAGAAGCCCCATTAGGAATGTTATTTTGGCAGCAGTGGAAGGGTGTGTTTGAACCTACAAGGCTCAGGCAACCTCAATCACAGAAGGACATTTTCTTTGGACTACACATCCCAGAAGCCTGTGCATGGGCTCTGGGGTGCATTGATGTCATCCAGGATACCCTCTGGTTAGGCAGGTATGCTTCTAGTGCTCAAAGTTTACAAAGGCCAGGGAATCTTGCAGGGTATAGAGGAGGTGAGGTTATTGAAAATGGAAGCCACATAGAGACTCTGCTGCAGCTAGGATGACGGGAAAGAGATATCAGTGCATCTGAGATGCACTGATGAAAGAGATTAGCACCACTCGCCTATTCCTGCTGCACAGAAGGGCATCGATGATGAATTCCACAGTGCTCTTTGCCATGCCAAGGAGGTGGCAGACTATATCATCACTGAGGCATCCTCCCACAGCCTGACTGAGTGCACACAGCAAGGGATCATTCAGTTCAATTTAACAAACACTTACTGAATGCCTATTATGTACCAGGAACTTTGCTAAGCACTGGGGATGTAAATAAGAAAAGAGAAAAATAGTTCCTGCCCTCAAGGAGCTTATAATCTAATGGAAATAGACCATGCACAAAAGGAAACTGAAAATAGAGAGGCACCATGAGGTGCCTGGGCGAGGACATGATGATCTTGAAGTTGAAACTAATTGATAAGCTAGTTGGCATGGTGGATAGAGTACTAGGCCTGAAATTAGGAAGACTCCTCTTCCGGAGTTCAAATCTGGCCTCAGACACTTACTAGCTGAGTGACCCTGGGCAAGTCACTTCACCCTGTTTGCCTCAGTTTCCTCATCTGCAAAGTGAGCTGGAGAAGGAAATGGCCAAGCACTCCAGTATCTTTGCAAAGAAAACCCCAAATGGAATCACAAAGAGTCAGACACAACTGGAAAATGACAGAACGACAAAATTCAGTACGTAAAAGATACTGATTCAGTAATGTTTTGAATGAAAAAAGCTTAACAACTAGACTGGACACTTGGTGCCTTGGGGTCCTTTCTCTTTCACCTTTAGAAGCCCCCATCCTCGGTTCTATTGGCATGCTCCCTTGAAGTCTCCCCAGGTGAATACTTCCTGCGGAAAGTCCTTCAGGTTTCCTTGTCCAGAGAGGGCACATGAAACCTCTCCAGGTGGTTGAACTCAGCTTGCCTTAGTTTCCCCATTTTCCCCTTGCAGACTCCCACACTGTACTATCCCTTTCCTCTCCCAGACTCTCACTTCATATTCCTGTAAAACTGTCCAGTGCGGGATAGCTCCGACTGAGTGCAGTGGTGTCAGGGGAGCTTATCAGGCACAGGCAGGCAAATGATATGCAGAATTTAAAACTGAGAGACTTAATTTTTATTCTGCTGGTCTCTTTTGATTGTATAACACCTTTGACTTCTGAAAACATCCTTCCCTCCTCCCTAGTCCAGTGGTTTCTCTTACATAACAAAGACTGAAAAGAGAAAGAGAAGGAAAAAGCCAGATTTCAGCACAACTGCCCATGACATCCATCGGATCTGCCAGTGTACGCTGTGTTCCACACCCGTGGATCCCCGCTTCTTCAAAGAAGCTGGGGGCAAGGGGAGGGGCCCTTTCTTATTTCTTCTTCTGGTCCAAACTCGGCTACTCTAATTACACAGTGTTTGCTCCAGAGGTCGTTGTTCTTCCCATGTGCATTGCCTTCCTGGTTTTCTTGTTTTACTTCGCATCAGTTCAGATAAGCGTTTCCTTGAATTCTTCATAGTCATTGCTTCTTACGGCACAGTAATCTTCCATTACTTCCATTACACTCTTTGATGTCCTCGGGGTATATGCCCAGGTGGGGAGGGGGGAAGAATCCAGGGTCAAAGGGTATGGATATTTCAGTCACTTTATTTGCATAATTACACATTGCTTTCCAGAATGGTAGGCCAATCCACAGGTTCACCAACTCCATATTAGTGTGCTTGTCTTTCTGCAGTCCCTCCAACATTGACTGTTTCCATTTTTTTGCCATTTTTGCCAATTCGTGGCATACGGAGTAAGACTTCAGAGTTGTTTTCTTTTGCATTTTTATTATTAGTGATGTGGAGCATTCTTTTATATAGTTGTTAACAATGTGCAATTCTGGGGCAGCTAGTTGGCACAGTGGATAGAGCACTGGCCCTGAAGTCAGGAGGACCTGAGTTCAAATCAGGCTTCATACCAAAACACTTGACACTTACTAGCTATGTGACCCTAGGCAAGTCACTTAATCCCAATCCCCTAAAAAAACACCACACAAAACAAAACAAAAACAAAGTGCAATTCTTTGAAAACAAACTGACAGAAGTGCTGAATCCACTGACTGAGTTCAGAGCACTTGTATCATTAATAATCACATCTCATACTCATCGAGCACTTCCCAGTTTTCCAAGTGTGTTTCTCACCATAATCCCATGAAGTAGGTAGTTGTAGGTATTAGCCCCATTTTACAGATGAGGAAACTGAGATACAGAAAAGCAAAGATACTTGCTCGCAGTTCCATGGTTAGCCAGAACCTGTCTTCTTGTTCCTTTATGACCTTGAGTCAAGGCACCAGGTTGGAATCCTTTCTCTGCCACTCGCTACAAGTCACTTAATGTGACTGGCTGTCAGTTTTCTTCTCTGTAGACATGAAGGCTTGGGCTAGACAGGCTTCGAGGTTCCAGAGGGATATAGTGGAGAACACTGGACTTGGAGACAGACGACTGGGGTCACATCCTGGCTCTGTGTGACCTTCTGCAAGTCAGTTTTTTCATCTTTAAAATTCGGGGTTTGGACTAGACAACCTCCAAGGTCCCTTTCATTTCTAAATTTATA